TTTCCCCCAAGTACTGATAGCAGTTTCATAAGATTCGTATACATCTAGGGGCTAAAGGTCATTAACAGTGTGCCCAGAGTTCAGTGCCAAATGTGTCAGCCTGGCAGATCTTGCAGACCCAAACTCATTTTAGAATCTAGTCACACACATTCCACATGACTTTTAACCACATATAAATATAATTGAGAGCACATGGGGAAGCGATATATTGCGTCCCTCTTCTTTTTTCCACTTACTCTGTAAACAGCTATTCTAAAGGTATAAATGTATAGTGTGATAGGCAAGGTTTCTATTTTTAGGTGACTACCATATGGTTGAGAAGATAATGCTCTTTCCAGAATATATTGAATGTTCAGTGGGAATGCAAGTAGAGAAATAAGGATTCAAAGAGGAAATGATCACTTTCCATTAGGATGATCAAAGAACTTTGTAGAGAAGATAGAATCATGTGTCTCAAAGAGCAGGAAGCAGTTCAAAGAGGTTATCTCAATGTGATGAAGAAAGTAAGATAGAGAAGAAGAATGTGACAAAAGCAAGGAGCTCAAAAAAAAAAAAGCAAGGTATTTAAGGGAATAATAAATAGACAGTAGAGATCATATGGCATAATTAATGATGGAGAATAAGGAAAAGATTAGGCTGAGTTTTAGGGTAACAAATCTAAATGGCAGAACTTTGTACTATCTGCTGTTGGAAAAACTGTAATGATATGTTGAGAGTGATTTTCAAGGAAGACCATGACAGAAATATGCAGGTGATGGAGTTTAATAGAAGAAGTTATAATGGAAAAGAAGCAAAAGGTGCATTATTTTTTTCACAGGAAGAACTGATAAGAGCAGTAGGTGTAGAGTAATAGAGGAAGGAGTTAAAGAAGCTAGTTTTGAATTTTAGTGGCAGGATGATTGACAGCACAATTACAGAAAATCAGGAAAAATTGTCTTGCAAATAAGAGTGAATACAATTTTGAATATAGTGTATTTGAAATGACAGCAAGAATTGCAAATGAAGATATCCAATAGAATTTTAGATATGTGAAACTGAATAAAGGTGATGTTGGGATAGGTGAGATGCCCAAAGCATGAGTTGTGAACACAGAGGATTAAAATGTCAAGAACAGAACTTGGATGTGCACAGTTAGGCAATGGTAATAGCAAACTGCCAAAGGTGGACAATCTATAGTGGGTCCTTTTGTAAGTTGGGAGTATGGACATCCTTACTTGTTGCCAGGACTCAAATGTTTTCAAACTGAGGGAGAAAGAGTTCAGCCTTTCATCAATAAATATGATGTGAATTGTAGATCATTTTTTTTACAGATGCCCTTAATAAAGTTAAAGAAGCCATTTTTTTGCCATTTTGTATAGAAATTTTACTTTGAATGACAGCTTTAAATGACTTTTTTTTTCTGCATTTGTTGATATGACTAATTTTTTTTTTAAACATTTGAAATGTCAGAGGGATGGGATGAGAATTCACCAGATTCTGTTTATTTACATCTGTTTTCAAACTGTCATCTCCGCTCTTTTGTATTTTTTTCTTTTCTTGCTTTCATTTAGAGTACATTATGAATCCATAAAGAAGCAATATGTGAGCTCTCATGTATAATAATGGAAATTCTCTCAAAGTGAGATATCTGATCATAAGCTGAAGTTGGAGAAACATTGGCATCTTGTATAAAGAAGATTTAGAATATTTGTCTTGGGAGGTTGTCTGGGAAAACATCAAGAGATAAGCATGAATCCACAAATAACCAGTAAGGGCCAGCTTAAGTAAATATGTATTAATAAAGTAAGGTATTCTGTGATCAAATCTGAAGGTATTTCAAAATATCCCCTGAATTGGAAAAAGTGGAAAAATTTGTAATGGAATTTCAGTGGTGGTTAGTATATTTCACATGTCAACTTTAGTTTTAATTGAATCCACTCATGTTTTCACCTCAACAATATTAAGATAGCAACTTGTCAACAATCACATTTTTCCTTGAGTTTTAGAACCTTTATAATTAGCAGCCATCTTTTCTAATATGTATAGTACTCAAAACAGTTGAGCTCCAGGGATTTTCAGCAAAATCTGTGTGAAGTTTCTCCCATTTTCTCAGAGAAAATTTGCCTGGAAAGTAAAAAAAAGTTGAAATAGCTAGAAGGAACTGATCTAGAACAAATGGAAAATTGGTAAGCCAGCTGGAACACATTTGCTAGGATAATTATTCTACTCTTTAAACTGACTACACTTTGTATTGTATTATTTTTGTTTACAAAATGTATGATTGCTGAAATCATTTAATAAAATATGACCTCAGAGTAGAGGTAATCTAAATCCTTCATTGTCCATAACCATTGTTATCTGATTTACATATTGAAAATCTATATGATCAAAAGTGAGAAAAATCACCAAATTATCAGAATGTTGTGTTTGGAATGCTTTCACAATTATAATTGGTTTCATTATATAATGAAAAAAATTGATATAGATATTTTCTTTATATATATATTTTTATTCATATTTTTTCCATCATTGTGTGTTCCCCATAAATTTCCCACCACCAATTCACAGATGAACCATCACCATAGTCCCTTGTACTCTTCTCTCCCCTGTTTTGACCCGTCGCATCCCACCCCCATCCGCAGTTATCTATTATTATGGTTGCCTCCTTGTTTTGTTGTTACTGTTTTTTCCTGATCCCTTATTTGATTCCTCTTATAGGTGAAACATTCAATATTTTTATTTTTTATTCTAGCTTATTTTGCTGAGCACGATCCTGACTAGCTCCATCCGTATTGTAGCAAATGGCATGAATTTATCTTTTTTGATTGCTATATTGTATTCCAGTGTGTCTATATACCACATCTTCTTGATCCAGTCGTCTATTTCTGGGCATTTAGGTTATTTCCATAGCTTGCTGATTGTAAATAGTGCTACAATAAACATAAGGTTGCAGATGTCTTTTTGAATTAATGTTTTCGCATCCTTTGGGTGAATTCCTAGGAGTGGAATTGCTGGGTCACATGATAGCTCCATTTTTGGTAGTTTGAGGAACCTCTACATAGCTTTTCATAGTAGTCAGACCAGTTTGCATTTCCATCAGCAGTGTAGGAGAGTTTGTTTTTCCCATGACATTGATATTTTCTATGGAAACAAAAATAAAAACTAACCCATATTTTTTCTAGCAGCAGCCACTATTGTGTAAACCTTTGAAGAAGGCTAGAGATAGGGATCACATATATGGGTTTTAATGTTAACTATTTATCATCTACATGATCTTGGGTATGATGCTTAACCTCTTTGTGCTTTAGTATATTTATTTGTGAAATAGGAAAATTGTTTTGTATCACAGACTTGAGGTGAAGATTGAATAAGGTAGTGCATGCAACATGCTTCACCTGGGCTGGGTGTAGTATATATACTCCAAGTTATAGTTATAACCAGAGTGAAAAAGGATTAGTTAGGCTCTGTGTATCTCCAGTAATGTAATATTTGAGCAATAGGTAGATCTCATGCTATGGGTATCTAAGTTATACTGGTCTCATAAATATATGTAAGAAAGAAAAAAAGCAGTAGAAATAAAGATTGAATCCAGCTATCTGCTCCACACCATTGAGTGTGACATTTGTAGACAATTTGAGATATTCACTTACATTTTATATTTCTTTCCCAAGCAATCATTTCTTCAAATATAATTTTAGTGTTAGTGGAAATAATTATCATTATGTTTCAGCATATGTATTCAAAATCAACTCTTGTTTCAAAAATGAAATAATCATTATATACTGAAAAACTAGTATCACTAAGAAAATTTTATCTTCCATAAGTGAAAAAAATGAATACCATAAGTCTCATAACTCTCAATATAGTAAGCCAATGGCAGAAGGCATAAGGAAATGTTTTGGACAAAAATAAAAAACCTACATTGCAAAAGATGACAGAACATTAGGGTTGGTTGGGCATTAATCATGGTAGGCCATTTATTCTCCAATAGACTCTTTTTTTTTTTTTTTTTAAAGATTTATTTATTTATACATACAGAATTGGGGTATAGGCCAGAGGTGCAGGGGTGGTGAGAGGATTCACCAGTGACAGAGTGGGGAACAGAACAGGCTGACTGACGACTTACATTGCAAAGGAGT